ATCAGAATTGTCGATTGACTGCTGCTGTTGTGCCAATACTGCATCATCCGGTGTGACTTGATTGCTATCGCCACCGTTGATGCCCAATTCAAATGCTTCAGAGCTGTCATTGAATATGTGCGATTCTTCATGTTCATTAAATGCACTACTGGAATCATCCATAAAATTATCTTCGTTCACGTACGATTCAAAAGTCGCAACTTCGATTTTTGATGACAGTGGCTTATGGAAATGGTCGGTTTCACTGTACACCCATTCAAAACTGGATTCGGATCGTACGTCTTCATCAGGATTTTTGTCATCTGCTGTGTTTCGGTCGTCAATTTGATTTGTATTCACAACATCACTTTGCACAATATCGACAGTTTCGTTTCGATCAAAATCGTCAATTGAATGCTGCTGTTGTACCAATGCTGCCTCATTCAATGTGTCTGGATCGCCATCATCACCGTTAACGTACGATCCCGATGGTTCAAAATCAGTACGTACGTCTTCATCACTTTCACCGTCATATTCCAATACCTCTTGAATCGAATCAATTTCTTCGGCCGTCAAATCGAAAAACTGGTTGTTCATTTCTTGCATTTTTGCATAAATTTCTTGCTGAATGGCTTGTTTATCTTCGTTCAAAACCTCATCTTCGATTTCTACTGGTGGTTTTGAATAGTTGCGCAAAGCAGCCTTCTTCTGTTGAGAGTAATCGGCCTGAACAACACGGCGACTGTTTGTACAGTATTTTGTTGCATCATCCTCTTTTTCTGAAAGAATTTAACATAACCACAATTATTTTCAGTCACCTACAAAATCGAATACAATTTGTCTTACCGAAAATTCTTTTGATGAACGCTTTAAAGCAGCTGTCGGAATCTAATTTTTCATAGTAGTTCTTGGTGGGCAAAGCAAAATTTGCTTGCTTGTCCATGTTTTCGGAATAAAATATTTTGAACTCGGTACCTCGAATGGCACCGTAGTTTCCAAATACATGTACTTGAAAATCATCAATCCAACTAATTGGAACAACAATATTCTGTAGAGAATGTTTCAATATGACGACTGCGTACATTTTTCGTTCGATATTTTCTTGTGATTTTGAGAAAAAGTTATTTACGTACGATATTTATTTTAAATTAAAAAACATATATTTCCGAACGATATTCCGAACTGTTGCTCAACTGAAACTGTGTGTTTATTTGACAGTCATGACGTTTGTTTTCAATGTTGTCACTGTAGCGCTGCGCTGCAATCGTGCTTGTTTTCGTGTTTTCAAATAATTTAAAAGTGAAAACAAAATTTCATATTTTTTTCCAATTTTTCAAGAATAAAAATTAGAAAAAAAAATTATTTTTATTTGTAACATTTAATTTGCATGATTACAAACAAAACACTCGGCTTTTGTATCGAACGCACTCATCGCACCCATACATAGAAATACAAACTAACACAAACGTTTGTTGGTTATGTACATGTACACATTGTCTACACTTTGCCTATACCAATCGATTGTATAGACCACGGTCGAGTCTACAGTTGTCTATCGAAAACCATCACTGTTCGGTATCCGGATAAAACGCAGAAAATAAAAACGCAGAAACGCCAAAACGCAGAAAAAAACACAGAAAGACAAAGCGCAGAAAAAAAACGCAGAAAAGACAAAACACAGAAAAATGAAAAATTTGATTTTTGACTAAAATATTGGGTAAATGAGGGTTCTTTTGGGTTATTTTTCCAAAATAATGGCATTTTATCTTAGCCAAAACCTCGAATAGTATATTTTTCTGGTACCTCACATACATTACATTTACACTAGCATTTAGAGTAACAACAAAGAGAGAGAAAGAAAATAAAAGGACAAAAACCATTATTCATAATATATCTGTATCTTGTGCTCATTTTCATTCAAGTTCAATCCCGGGCACATCGATTTACCCTTATGTTTTCTATGCGGTGGAACGAAGCCCGCCGCGTTACACAGGCGAGATAGTGCACACAGCATTAGCGAGAGAAGTACAGCACACTGTCTTTCTGTGTTTTTTTCTGCGTTTCGTCTTTCTGTGTTTTTTTTCTGCGTTTTGTCTTTCTGTGTTTTTTTTCTGCGTTTTGTCTTTCTGTGTTTTTTTCTGCGTTTTTTTTCTTCTGTGTTTTTTTCCTGAGTTTTGTCTTTCTGCGTATTGTCTTTCTGCGTTTTTTTTCTGTGTTTTTTTTCTGCGTTTTGGCGTTTCTGTGTTTTTATTTTCTGCGTTTTATACGAGAATCCAACGTTCATCGCAGAACATGTGAAATTTTACCCAACGTTATATTCATGTACTTCTTTAGTTATTAATTCACAAATTATTTCAGTATGCAGAATCTAAATTTGATAAAAGGTCGTCTAAAGTATTTAGCAAACAAATATTTGAATGTAATTGTAACATTATTTGATTAAAGAACTACTTTAATATTTTAATGAAACGAAAATGTAAATAATGGCTAAAAAAATACGTCTTTCCTGCATGAAACCGCCTTTAGGCGGGTTTCAAAGAAAGAGGGGAAAACCTTCGTGAAAATGGAAAATTCTGGGAAATTTTGGTTGATTCGTGGAGAAAAAACTCCAATTTTTGTAATAAAAAAATTCCCAGCGCCAGGAAATAACAAAAATAGGGTATCTAACTCATCGGCGTTGGCGTTACATAAACAAAATAATTAATTTCAGAAAAACCGCTTTTCCGAGCCACTCAAACGACCCTAGCTCACTACCCGCACGACTCACACTGATCAAGTATGTATCACACGATAGCGTACGACCATAAGAATCAAACGATACCAGGCATGTGGATTTGTAGCGTCGGGTTCATATTTTATAGCTAATTTTGTATAGCCCGCAAAAAGGCGGGCTCATGCAGTTGAGGGTTAAAATGAAAAAAAAGTAAATTTTAACGCATTATCTTATAGAGTTTATGTTTACTTTTCAAAATCACAAAGATATAACTGAATGAAATAATATAGATAGCAGAGACTGCAATTTTCGGGATCTTCCTCTTCTTCTTATTGTGAAATTCAATTTTATTTTGAAAACGCAATGTGACTTTTAAAATTTTTCATCCTGAAACAATTTCTAGATCAATTTTTAGTTATTTCAGGCTAGAACAATTTTAGAAGTCAGATTGCGTTTTCAAAATAAAATTACAGCCGGCGACAGCAGGCGCGAGTGACGAAAGCACCTCTGTGCTGAACTACTCGCCTATATTACCGTGCGACAAAATAAAAGTTGTTGTATCGCACATTGGGGTTTTGAATGTACATTGGTAGAGGACCCCAAAACAAACAATTCTGCATTTTTACTTTTTCCGGGACACATCTGAATAAGAAAGTTATCGACTTTGGCAGATTTTTCGAAGACCTGAAAAATCAGCGAAATTTTTTTTTCCACAAAACATCATTTTATGCATGGTTTTCGACTCATATTTATTGGGAATGATAGAAAACACTAGAAAAAACAATAACTCATACAATTCGACTTATTTCAAAAAAAAAATTCATGTTTTTTTCGAAAAAAAAACGGGATTTTGTTGATTTTCGTCGAATTTTTGGTTTTTTTTACTCGTTTTTATTATTTTTATCGATGGAAAAGGACTTAAAACACTACAAAATTTATTTTTCGTCGACGTTTTGAAATTTCAGTGATCATTGAGCAATTTGGCAGTCAATGCTCACAGAGAGATGGCGCTAAAACCCTGCTTTCCAGACGTACAATGGAATATACTGGAAAGCAATAGTTGTTAAATGATGATGTCATAATCACATATTTTGACTGACAGATC